TGGGAGGGCTCTGCCAGGAAGTGACATTTGTGCTATGATCCGCTGGGTGATGAGGAATGGCACGTATGGGACAGGGACAGTGGTGGAGGCAGGCGGCCTACGTGCAGGAAAGGCGGGGGGAGTTACAGGACGAGGTGACTGGGGGGAGCATGGTTGGCACCTCTAAGAGCACTGGGAGGCCATCGAAGGAGAGGCAGGTGACAAGGTTTGCCTTGTCCTCATGGGTGTCTCAGCTGGGCTGAGAGTGCCAGAACTGGCCATGGAATAAACAGTCCCTCCTGAGGGGATGTGATCAATAGGCAGAATTCTGTCACTTAATGATAACAGTAGCCACCATCGAACTGAGTGCCTCCTGTTAGGTCAAACTATATAAAATTGCCAACATTCATTTCTCATCCACAGAAACAGCCGTTGCTGATATTACCTGGCACTATGCTTAGTGACATCGTGTATGTCTGTGTGATTTGTGAAATAATGTGTACGTGCAAATTTACATCAGACGTAGGACTGTCTGATTCCTATGTGTCATCCTGACAATTACCCTGTGAAGCAAGCCTTGTTTTTTTTTTTTTAAATAATTTTCTATTCTTGTAGCGATGGTGTTTTGCCATGTGCCTGGGCTGGTCTCAAACTCCTGGCTCAAGTGATCTCCTGCCTCACCCTCCTGAAGTGTGGGTATTACGAGTGTGAGCCACCACGCCTGGCCGAGCAAGCATTGTTGTTCCCATTTTACAGATAAGGAAACTGAGGCTTAGAGAAATAAAGTATTACCCACGTTTATATTGCTAATTATTAGTCAAGTCAGGATTTGAACTGAGGTCTGATCGACCTCAAAGCCTGTGCCTAAAACCACTCTGCTGGATCCAGAAAACATGAGGCTAAAGGCTTCAGAGAGGCCGTGCAGGGTAGAGGTTAGCACTTTGCAGCCCAGATGGCCTGGGTTCGAACCCCAGCTCTGCCCCTTGCTAGCCACATGACCTTGGGGAGGAGATTAACTAGCTTCTTTGTGCCTTAGTTTACCCATCATATATAGGAATGAGCACCTCATAGGTTTTTTGTGAGGATTGAATGAACTGATGTTTGTAAAAATGCTTAGAACAGTGGCTGGGGCACTGGGCTTTGCATAGGCATGAGCTCTTGTCGTCACTGTCCTCGTGGTTGACGGTGCTGTGCCTGTGGCTCACCAGGTGAGTAGACTCCCCTGTGGGAGCAGCCCGGCTCTAACATTGTGCCTCCTGGAGGTATCGGTTCTGTCTAGACTTTCTCCAGCACAGCCCTGGGAGGATGAGGGATGACAGAGCCTGCCTCAGCTTTCCATGTCCATTCTCAACTCCAGAGGTTCTACGGGGCCACCTCCCGGCAGCCGAAGCACCTCGAGTCAGTCAGCCGCTCCCCTGTCTATTCCCATTTCAACGAGACTTGCTGGGGGTCAACGTCATTTGGGCCTTTGAGGAGCAGGAGCACTTTATCCACCAGAGTGACCTGAAGGTGGGCGGAACCAGAAGGCCTGTTACCCCAGCATTGTGGCCAACAGGTGGGAATGGCGGGCCCGCAGGAGGGGTCAGAGGAGGCGCATGAGCACTTTGTCCCTTTGCCTCGATCTCTCATACCTTGTGGTGGGTGCAACGGCAAACCGGGCCTTCGCAGAAAGGATGGGGAGGCTTGAAGATTGTCAGTGGCAGACCCTGCTGTTGAGTATCTTCACAATGCTGCTTCCATCTGGGGGTGCTCATGCACCCCTGGGTGAAGGGTGTCAGAAGCAATTTACTAATATCACCAAGCTGAATCATATGAGATTGTTATCTTGTGGGCCACAAGTCCTGGCTCATGCCTGTAATCCCAGTACTCTAGGGGGCCGAGGCAGGAGGATCCCTTGAGGCCAGGTATTCAAGGCCAGCCTGGGCAACATAGCAAGACCCCATCTCTCTCTTAAAAAACAGGTAGCCTGTGATGGTGCTGTGTGCCTGTAGTCCTAGCTTCATTTGAGTCCTAGGATCATTTGAGCACAGGAATTTGAAGCCGCAGTGAGCTATGATTGCACCACTGCACTCCAGCCTGGGTGACAGAGTGAGACCCTGTCTCTGGAAGAAAAAAAAAAAGGAGATGGGGTGGGAGATTGACATCTTGTGGACACAGACAATATCATCAATCCAAAAGAGGCAGAAGTTTGCTGATTATTTGCTGAATTTAGAGACGTGTCTGACTTATCCCTAAAACAGCACCCCTCTCACCCATTTGCATCCTGATAAACTTTTCTGAAAAAGTACCAGCACCCACAGGTGACCCATAACCACAAGCCCATCTTACACACTCTAACCCCATAGTGTCAGTCTGGGCGGGCCAACCCTGAGTAACGAGAGACCTTGACTTCCCTTGCAGAATTTTTAGGGAGAAGTTTGTGACAAGCTGGCTGTGTCTGCCAGAGTAGTGAGTGTCAGTCACGTGGTTCATGAGGGCTGCAATGGATAAAAACACCCCATCTTCCTTGAACGGTTTATATTTTAGAACATTAAAATAATAGTTCTAGTGTTATATCATACAAAGCCTAGCTTTAAACAAATAAGATGGCTAGGTGCGGTGGCTCACGCCTGTAATCCCAGCACTTTGGGGAGGGGGCAGGGGGACAAGGCAAGAGGGTCACCTGAGCCCAGGAGTTCGAGACCAGCCTGGGCACTGTAGGGAGACTTGTGTCTAAAACAAACAAACAAAAATAATTTAAAAAACCCCAGAAATTAGCCAGGCATAGTGGCTTGGGCCTGTAGTCCCAGCTACTCAGGAGGCTGAGGCAGGAGGATCACTTGAATCTGGAAGGTTGAGGTTGCAGTGAGCTGTGATCAAGTCATCCACACTCCAGCCTGGATGACAGAGCAAGACCCCATCTCAAAAAACAAAACGACAAAAAACAAGATTTCTGTTTCTATATTAAAGGGTAAAATAGTATACTTTAACATTTTGAAATGAAGGATAGTCTGGCTGTGGAATGTGGCAATGGTGATTAATCATAGTATTGTGTTTCCCATTCCCCTCTCAGATCTGTCTCCTAACAAGAGACTGTTACTTTATACTTGTTCTTAGCCAAAAGTTAAGAAACATTGATGGTTATTTTAAATCACTGGTGCCTCTTATAGTTGATGTTTTTGTCTTCTTAGTATTTAGGAAGTTCCAGCATGTCTTTTATTGTGTGTGTGTGTTAATTGTGCATATATATATATAGTTTTGTTTTGTTTTTTTTGTTTTTATTTGAGACAGGGTCTCACTCTGTCGCCCAGTCTGGAGTGCAGTGCCATGGTCTGGGCTCACTGTACCTTCGCCCTCCTGGATTCAAGCAATTCTCCCACTTCAGCCTGCCAAGTAGCTGAGATCACAGGCATGCGCCACCACGCCCAGCTAAGTTTTGTATTTTTAGTAGGGACGAGGTTTTGCCATGTTGGCCAGGCTGGTCTCGAACTCCTGACCTCAGGTGATGCACCTGCCTCAGCCTCCCAAAGTGCTGGGATTACAGATGTGAGCCACTGCACCTGGCCTATATGTGTATATTTTAAAGGCTTCAATGAGGAAAACTTGGTTCTCAAAAAGGCAAGCCTCAGATTCCAGGGAAGATTGCCTCTGGAGAGCTCTGGTTTAATCCATGGGTTTGCCAGATTAATGAGATTTACTGGCATTATTCCCTTTCCGCCCTCCCTACCCTGTGCCATTGTGCATGTTTTGAAAAAGCAGTGCCAAGAAGGCTTCTCTCTGGAACTCTTGTGGAGTTACTTGAGTTAGCAAAGAGTTCCCTTTTGTCCCCAAGTGCTGGAAGCCAAGTCTCTGAAAAGCTGACTCCACACCCGTCTGTCTGCCCGTGTGTCTCGTGCAGGTGGCTGGCCGTGCGTCTGGAGTGTGTGGGCAACTGGCAACTGCATTGTCCTGTTTGCTGCCCTGCTTGCAGTGATCTCCAGGCACAGCCTCAGCGCTGGCTTGGTGGGCCTCTCAGTGTCTTACTCATTGCAGGCAAGAGGGGACGCTCGTGGCTGGATCGTTAACGTGTTAATGGGGGAGCCAGTTGTGCTTTGCTTTGGATTCCAAGTCCAACAGGAATGGGGGAGAGGAAAGGGAGAGGCATGGAGTTTGAGGAGTGGATACAATGCCTGGTGACCAACTAGAATGGAGAGGAATTTCACATGTTGCCAAGATTTTCCCCATCAAAGACATTCCTTGATGGCCCAAGAGGATACTTCCAGGTACAAGGGGAATGCTTTTAAAACTATGAATTTCCCTCTAAGCACTCCTTTAGCTGCATCTCAGAAATGGTGATACACTGTGCTTTTATATTGTCACCTGGTTCACAATATTTTCCAGTTTCCTTTCTGATGACTTATGTGGCCCATAGGTTATTGTGGAAATGTGGTATATGCCGTGGAGATGGCAGTGTGGCAGGCCTGGGTGATGGCTACACCTGGGTTGCTCATTTCTATACCATTCTTACCTGAATGTTTCATAATTCATCACTTTTTTAGCAGGGGAGGGAGACAGTGTCAATCCGTTACGCAGGCTGGAGTGCAGTGGCAAAAATCTCAGCTCACTGCAACCTCTACCTCCTGGGTTCAAGCGATTTCTTGCCTCAGCCTCCCAAATAGTTGAGATTACAAGCGTGCATCATGATGCCCAGCTAATTTTTGTATTTTTAGTAGAGATGGGTTCTGCCATGTTGGCCAGGCTGGTCTCAAACTCCTGACCTCAGGCGATCCGCCTGCCTCGGCCTCCCATAATTCATTCTTGTTGAAAATAATTTGTTTCCTGTTATCTTATTTAAAAAAAAAAAAAAAAAGAAAGAAAAATGGGAAAATAAAGTACTGCTCACTCTAGAAATGCCTTTTGAAGGTCACCGTGTACTTGAGCTGGCTGGTTCGGATGTCATCTGAGATGGAAACCAACATTGTGGCCATGGAGAGACTCAAGGAGTATTCAGAAACTGAGGAGGAGGTAGGCGAGGGCCCCTGGCCTGACCTCTGGGTCTTCGGTGTAGCTTTATCCCAAGGACATCTCTGAGCCCTGTCCTGTGTACCCTCGGCCTCTCAGCAGGAGAGTGAGCTGGACACCCCATCAGGCAGAAGTGCATCTTACGCTTGTCCAGTCTTTTGGCAGCACTTACTTAGAGCCTGGTTTTAGGGTGAAAATAGTTGACCAGCGTTCCCCAAGATCTGGGGTATCCGCATACGAGACTGTGGGATGCTGGCCGAGCATTCAGAAGGGACTCCCATTGTGAAGAAGTTTCCCCTCTAATTCTCATTCATACCTTTGATGGTACCACAGAGAAAGTCTGAGTTTGGTGCTAGCAGGTCTTTAACACCTTCGCGATTGAGATGATCTCTTCGACAGATGGATAAATAGCAGCCTTCACACTTGGAGCCTTCAACACCACAGCCTCTATCTTCCATCAAAAATAACCTTCTATTACTTGTTATGTATTTTGTGGTGTTTTTAAAGATGGAGTCTTGGCTGGGTGCGGTGACCCATGCCTGTAATCCCAACACTTTGGGAGGCCGAGGTGGGTGGATCATGAGGTCAGGAGTTCAAACAAGTCTGGCTAAGATGGTGAAGCCCCTTCTCTACTAAAACTACAAAAATTAGCCTGGCGCGGTGGCGGGCGCTCTTATCCCAGCTACTCGGGAGGCTGAGGCAGGAGAATTGCTTGACCCAGGAGGCAGAGGTTGCAGTGAGCCGAGATCATGCCACTGCAGTCTAGCTTGGGTGACAGAGCAAGAGTTCATGTCAAAAAAAAAAAAAAAGAGAGATGGTGTGTCACTGTCGTCCAGGCTGGAGTGCAGTGGCACGATCTCAGCTCATCGTAACCTCCACTTTCCAGGTTCAGGTAATTCTCCCGCCTCAGCCTCCCAATTAGCTGGGATTACAGGCGCCAGCTATCATGCCTGGCTAAGTTTTATATTTTTAGTGGAGATGGGGTTTCACCAGGTCAGCCAGGCTGGTCTCGAACTCCTTACCTCAGGTGATCCACCCACCTCAGCCTCCCAAAGTGCTGGGATTACAGGTGTGAGCCACTGTGCCCGGCCTGTCTGTTATGTATTTGTATGGGAGACTCCTGTTGTGGAAAATAATAGTACTTTTCCATTTGTGATTGTAATAAATTTTCCTCAGAAGTAAGCTGAGAAATGAGATATAAGTGAGTTGATGAAGTGTATTAAAACAAGAAAATCAGCGCCTGCTGCATGCTACACAAATGATGCAGTCGGGACCGAACCAAGGGGGAAACCCTGCAGTCATTTAACCCCCGTCTTCTTTTTATAGATGGAGAAAAAGGGAGCCTGGGGAGGGATGGTGGCATCAAGGTCCCACGTGGCGTGGTAGAACATCTGGGACCCGTGTCCCCAGGCCTTGATGTCACATGGTCCTTAATAACTGCCTTCTTGGGCCCTGAACAGCAGCACGAGTAGAAACAACAGTGATAACTGTCACAGTGATCTCCGCCCCCCCCCCCACACACAAGTAATGATAACAGGGACACACACTGCGCCTTATAGTATGTCAGGCCCAGACCTAAACGCTTAACACAGAATAGTGCAGTCGGTCTTTACCTCCCCCTATGATTGATTTTTGAGACACGGTCTCAGTCTTGCCCAGGCTGGAGTGTAGGGTGATCTCACTCACCGCCTCCCAGGCTCAAGTGATTCTCCTGCCTCTGCCTCCTGCGTGTCTGGGACCACAGGCACATGTCACCACAGCCAGCTGGTTTTTGTATTTTTAGGAGATGGGGTTTTGCCATGTTGCCCAGGCTGGTCTCGATCTCCTGAGCTCAAGTGATCCTCCTGCCTTGTCCTCCCAAAGTGCTGGGATTACAAGCGGGAGCCATTGTGCCCAGCCCAATAATTTTGATGCTGTTATTACTCCCATTTTACAGGTGAGGAAACTGAGACAGAAAAGTGAAGCTGCTTGTCCAAGATCACATGGCTGGTAAATGGCAGACCTAGGCTTTGAGCCTGTGCCTCCTCGGAGACCCTCTCCAGTGCCATGGGAGTTGTACTGCACTGCATCCTGAGGAAATGCCCCTTGGGAGAGAGACCAAGGCCTCTGGTAAGTTCTGTCCTCCGCAGAAATTCCCAGAGGTGGCCTCTGCCCACGTTAACATTCTGGGTGAACCAGGTCCCATGGTACCGGTGAGCATTGTAAGAATGGCGTGAGTGCCCCCCTGAGGAACCAAGGGTTCATTACACCGGCAGCTTCCATCTTGACATTGAATTCATTTACAGGTATTTTATTAGATTTTTATTTTTGTTTTGAGACGGAATTTTGTTTTTTCTTACGCAGGCTGAAGGCTGGAATTACAGGTACCCACCAGCCCGGGCAGCTATTTTATTCGTTGTTATAATGGCCTGATTAACGTGAATTTCACATGCCGTGCAGCTCACCCACTTAAACTGTGCAGTTTGATTGAATTGTTTGTTTTCTTTTTTTTGAGACCGAGTCTCGCTCTGTCACCAGGCGGGAGTGCAGTGGCGCAATCTTAGCTCACTGCAATCTCCACCTCCTGGGTTCAAGCGATTCTCAGGCTCCTGAATAGTTGGGACTACAGGTGCGCGCCACCTCGCCCAGCTAATTTTTCTATTTTTAGTAGAGATGGGGTTTCACCATGTTGGCCAGGCTCATCTTGAACTCCTGACCTTGTGATCTGCCCACCTTGGCCTCTCACAGTGCTGGAATCACAGGCGTGAGCCACCACGCCTGGCACAAATTCAGTTTTTAAAAGCATTTTACTTTTGATTTACTTTTATATTTTTAGAAGGAGTGTATTTGACAATCACAAGAGAAAGTAATTGTCCTTACTGCCACTGTTCGGTCTGTATATACATGTATTTTTATATGGAGATAGAAAGTTCCACGTGCTTCTCTCCGTTCCCCTCACTGTGCTGTCATAGCATCTCCCCTTCAATTATGTACATAAATTAGAGAGAGATGCTTGTTTAAAACAAAATCAATACACAGCTGGGCACGGTGGCCCACGCCTGTAATCCCATCACTTTGAGAGGCCAAGGCGAGTAGATCACTTGAGGCCAGGAGTTTGAGACCAGCCTGGCCAACATGGTGAACCCCATCTCTACTAAAAATACAAAAATTAGCCGGGTGTGGTGGTGTACACCTATAATCCCAGCTACTCGCGAGGCTGAGGTGGGCGGATCGGTGGAACCTGGAAGGCGGAAGTTACAGTGAGCTGAGATTGCATCACTGTACTCCAGCCTGGGCAACAGAGCGAGACTCCGTCTCAAAAAAAAAAAAAATTAACACAAGAACTTTATGGGGGAGAGTGAAAGTTAGTTCCTGTTCACCCCATTCCTCTTCTTCCCACAGAGAGGCCCCATTCGCATTTAGGTGTGTTTCCTCCAGAACTTTCCTGTTCTGTGGGATTCCCACATACCCCCACACATTTGTTTCCTTGTTTCTTTTAACATAAGTGGGGTCTACATGTTATTCTGTGAGGCCTCACCTTTTCTTTAACCCTGAGGCAGCTTCGCATCTGTATATAATGATAGTCACTGCCCCTAAGGGCTGCTGTGAGACTCAGATGAGATCATGGGTCTCAAGTGCTGAGCAGAGCAACTTGCATTAGCTGCATTGTAAGTGCTCAGTAATAACTCTTATTTTTTGGACGGGTGCAGTGACTCATGTCAGCACTTTTGGGAGACCGAGGCAGGTGGATCACTTGAGCTCAGGAGTTCGAGACCATCCTGGGCAACATGGTGAGACCTCGTCTCTACAAAATAAAAAATAACAGTGTGCGTGTATGTTTCCTGAGACAGACTCTCACTCTGTCACCCAGGCTGGAGTGCAGTGGCATGCTCCTGGCTCACTGCAACCTCTGCCTCTCAGGTTTTAGTGATCCTCCTGCCTCAGCCTACCAAATAGCTGGGATTACAGGCTCCCGCCACCATGCCCAGCTAATTTTTGTGTTTTTAGTAGAGACAGGTTTTCACTGTTGGGCAGGCTGGTCTTGAACCCCTGACCTCAAGTGATCTTCCCGCCTCCGCCTCCCAAACTGCTGGGGTTACAGGCATGAGCCACCATGCCCAGCAACGCTGTTATTTTATAGCACATCCACAAAAGGGCCCAATGTTTTTCTTGTTACATACCCTCCGCCGTGCTCCTGAGGTTGGCCATGTGCTCTCCAGCCTGGTTCCGCACCTGTGTGTGCCCTGGAGGAATGTGCATTCTCTTGAGGCTAAAACCACTGAACCTGGCCCACGCCATATCCAGCTGTGGGCCTCAGGAAATGCTGAACTGGACGGCTTTTCAGAAGCAGAGTTGTGTTTCCCTCTGCAAGCGACCTCCCCTCTCTGTGTCTCAGTCCCCTTGTGTGTAAACCGGGGATAACTGAAGGACCCTCCACATGGGATTGCTGTGAGGATGACGAGGCACTGTGATACAATCCCTGCTTTTATCCTTGCCTTCCTGCCGGGGCGGGCAGCCAGGGTAACTCACTTTTATTCTTGTGCCTGTCCAGAGAAGACCACTCATGTCATTGACTCCGTCCATAAATATTTATTTTTAAATTTGTTTTAATCAAACAAGTAAGTTCTATTGGTGTCTAAAAACAAAAATTCACCCAACATTGAAACATACTTCAAGATCTATGTTACTGTTTTCTTGTTTCTTTTTTTACTCACTGCAGTGTGAGGAACGAATCACAAACACTTTTGAAAAACAGAGAACATAGTGCAGATTTTAAAGAATCACATTTTTAAATCTCTGTATTGTGTTCCTCAAATACCTAGAGCCAGTCTGTGCATAAAAACATCACACTGTTGTCTGTACCCTTAAAACTCGGCATCAGCCTAAAGATATGGGTAAGATGTACTACTGCTTGCTATTTTGAAATTATTGCCTTATCCAGCCTAATGATAGTTACCTAAAAAACTGTTTCTTCTATAAGAAGTCTCTGACAAGCTGTTACTCGTTTCCTTGAGGTTAAAAAAATCTGGGGGCAACATTTATATTTTATTAGAAAAAATTTTAAAAAGTTTACCTACTATGTTCATATTAAGAACAATATCTGTGGCCGGGCGCCATGGCTCACGCCTGTAATCCCAGCACTTGGGGAGGCTAAGGTGGACGGATCATGAAGTCAGGAGTCCAAGACCAGCCTGGCCAACATGGTGAAACCCCGTCTCTACGAAAAATACAAAAATTAGCTGGGTGTGGTGACAGGCATCTGTAATCCCAGCTACTCGGGAGGCTGAGGCAGGAAAATCACCTGAACCTGGGAGGCGGAGGTTGCAGTGAGCCGAGATCACGCCACTACACTCCAGCCTGGGTAACAGAGCGAGACTCTGTTTCACAAAAAAAAAGAACCATTTCGATACAAGTCAGTTGTACAATTATTTTAAGAGAAAGGTAAACATGAACATCAGATTAATTCTGGCAGACAAAAGTGAACAACTATGGTCTAGTCAGCCGCTTTCTATTACAGAGAGATGACAGCTTTACAAAGGGTTTTGCTGAGAGATGATGATGTTCCCTCAGTCTCTGTGCCTTCTACCACTGGTTCACCTTCTATATTAGCAACTGTGTCACTCTTGTTATGTCCACCTACTATGTGCTCTGAGCCTGGGATACAGTGGTGAACAATTAGAGCCTGTCCTCACTGAGTAGATGGTGCAGTGAGCGTGGGAGACAGAATACACTCGAGTACACGAGCCCTGAGAGGGCCGGAGGCGGGCAGTGCCCAGAAGGAGAAGGCAGTGTGGGACGGGACAGGGATGCGGGCCTGAGAGCCCTCTGCATCGATCAGAGATCTGCAGGATGCGGGGGTCACGTGGGGAAACAGCAAACCCCCAGTGCTGAGGCCTGGGAGGCCACCTTGGGCAGCAGAGTGAGAGGGAGGGGAGGTTGGGGGAGTCACAGCTTTCTAGGATGGACTGCGAATTCCTTACTCTCCCTCTGCTGTGATCAAAGGCACCTTGGCAAATCCAGGAAACAGCTCCGCCCAGCAGCTGGCTCCAGGTGGGCCGATGGAATTCTGGAACTACTGCCGGTGCTACGGAGACCTGGATTTTGTTCTCAGGCACATCAGTGGAGGACAAAAGGTGGGTACACATCACCCCCCATTCCCAGTCGGGCACCACCAGGTGGATGAACCTAGCTGTGGCATCTGCCCTGTCACTTACAGCTCCGCACTCCTGCTTGCATGGCTGTTGCAGGGGTTGGGAGTGGATTGTGGCAGTAAGTCGTTAGAGCGCATCCAACTTGTAGAAGTGAAAGCTTAAGTGAGAGCCCAGAGACCAAATGAGCCCACAGATGCGTTTCGGAAGTTTTTTTTTTTTTTTTTTTTGAGACAGGGTCTCACTCTGTCGCCCACGCCAGAGTGAAGTAGTGTGATCTCAGCCCACTGCAACCGCAGCTTCCCAAGCGGGGGGAACTACAAGTGGTTGGGACTACAGGCGTGTGCCACTATGCCCGGCTTATTTTTATATTTTTCGTAGAGATGGGATCTTGGTATGTTGCCCAGGCTGGTCTGGAACTCTTGAGTTCAAGCGATCTGCCCACCTCAGACGCCCAAAGTGCTGGGATTATAGGAGTCGGCCACCACGCCTGGCCCCTGGACGTTTTTTTTTTTTTCGGCGGTGGGGGGGTGGTTTCTGAGACAGAGTCACTTGGTTGCCCAGGCCGGAATACAGTGGCATCATCTCGGCTCACTGCAACCTCCATCCCCCGGGTTCAAGTGATTCTCCTGCTTCAGTCTCCTGAGTATTTGGGACTACAGGTACATGCCACCACGCTTGGCTGATTTTTGTATTTTTAGTAGAGACAGGGTTTCTCACCATGTTGGCCAGCCTGGTTTCAAACTCCTGACTGAGGTGATCCACCCGCCTTGGCCTCCTGAAGTGCTGGGATTATAGGCATGAGCCACTGCGCCTGGCCCTTGCTAAGTCTTCATGGCTTATGTTATGTCATGAGAATTTTTGCATGCATGCTGCTCTGTGACACCCCTGTAAGAGGGTGGAGGAAGCTCATCCTCCAAAGCCCAGGGAGAATTGGAGATGAGGAATATCATTATTGGCCATTAACTGGGGAACCTAGTTCCTTCAAAGGAGGACGTGTGGAGACCAGGTCATGGTAAAGGGCACGGAAGATCTGCTTGAATCTTTCAGGTATTTCAACAGCTTATGAAGGGAAACTCACCATCAGAGGTGTGAAAAACAGTGTGGAGAAATAAGGAAATACCTAATTATTAGTAAATAGTAACCGAGTCGAAACAAATAGGGCTTTGTTGGAAATTCCTTCTGCCTCTTGTGTGTCTTTTTTGAGGTCTCTAGCAACCTATAAAAAGCTGAGGAATTCCTTTTGGGAGCCTGGCAAAGGGAAGAGTGTCCTTCTTGACCCTTGGCCAAAACACCCTTAAAGGAGTGTCTCTGGGCAGTGGGTGAGGGAGGGGGTGTGGAGTTGCGTTGACGAGATGACCGATGCCTGAGGTAGGGCAGAGATAAGGGCACTGTGGCACAGGGCCAAGTCCAGATGCCAGCATTCCCACCACACCTGGTCCCTTCTATCCTGCAGGTTGGCATCATGGGGCGGACGGGAGCAGGGAAGTTGTCCCTGACCCTGGGCTTCTTTCAATCAACGAGTCTGCTGACGGAGCGATCATCATCGATGACATCAACATTGCCAAGATCACCTCATCCCCCAGGTGGGGTCTGGGTGCCACTCAGGGGGTGAGCCAGGGGTGGCATGCTCTATGATTGTGTTTAGTTTTGGGACAAATGTACTTGTGGCCCTACTTCATTTTTTTTTTCTTCCTGAAACGCGGTCTTTTTTTTCTGAAGTCTGACCTCCATGCAATCTCGGCTCACTGCAATCTCCGCCTCCCAGGCTCAAACGATTCTCCCAACCCAGCCTCCTGAGTAGCTGGGACTACAGGCATATGCCACCACACCCAGTTAATTTGTTTATTTTTTGTGGAGATGGGTTTCACCATGTTATCCAGGCTGCTCTTCAACTCCTGGGCTCAAACGATCTGCCCACCTTGGCCTCCCAAAGTGCTGGGATTACAAGCATGAGCCACCGCACCTGGCCTTCATTATTTTTATTGATTAGGCTATGCTGCAGCTTCCCTGAATTTCCTCTTAGCACATGATTAACAATGTGGAAAATCACTGAGTATCACTCCCGACTTCTGTCCCTGCAAGTGGTAGTTTTCTGAGCATCCAGAAAAATCCAAAAGGATACTGTCTTCTCTCTCTTGTCAGAGTCAGACTGAGAATCTCTAACCCTTCTAAGAACTAGACAAGAAATAAGAATGTTTTCTTTTGAATTTTAGATCACAGGGCGCACGTGCAGGCTTGTTACATGGGTATATTGTGTAATGATGACCCTTGGGCTTCTATGGATCTCATCACCCAAATATTGAACAGAGTACCCGAGAGAGAGTCTCTCAGCCATTACCCTCCCCCATCTCTCCTTACTTTTGGAGGCTCCCGTTCTGTTGTTCCCATCTTTATATCCATGAATACCCAGAGTTCAGCTACCGCTTAAAAGTGAGAACATGCAGTATTTGGTAAG